CGTCGTGATGAGGAATAATAGGACGGGATGATTAAAAAAAAAAAAAAGAAGAGGGAAAAATAATAATAGTTGTTGAGCGTTATTGCGTTCGCGATACAACACAGCTATTGGGATCCGTCATCGATAGGTGAGCGCAATTTACCGTTTCACGGTTATGTCATTGCCTCGACGCAGGAACGATTACGGCTGCTTCGAATTGCCGGCCGTAAAACGAACTTCTGCTTTAATCCGACATAACATTACGGCTCGTCGAATGGGACCGGGTGTTTCTCATTTTCGCCAACCGGGGAATATCGGATGCTCGATTATTGCGCAATCAAGATAAATTTGGCAACACCTATTCAACACTCCTCCCATTCCATTACTTCTTTTTCCATGCTACTCTTTTTTAACCTAACCTAACCTAACGTTCTTCTGTTTCGTAGATGATTAATAATTATTATTTTATAATAATCGCAAGCATATCTTTTTATAAAGAAAATACGAATATCTATTGAAACCGATTTTATTTTCTTTTCCAAAAAATTCAATAATCCTCCTTTTCACTATTACTTTTTTTCAACGTTTTTTAATCTAACGTTTTTATTCTGAATTCATTATGGAATGGATTCTTGAATAATCGTAATTAATAATTATTTTCGTAATATTTTTTATAAAAATCGATCGAAACCGTTTTGCGATTTGCGTATTTTCTTTCCAAAGGACATTCAATAGTGTTACTCTTTTTCAACGTTCTTTAATCTAACGTTTTCATACCGAAATGGATTCTGTTTCGCGAATAATCGTAATTAATAATTATTTTCGTAATATTTTTATAAAAAAAAAAAATACGATCGAAACCGATTTTGCGACATCGATGCCGAAATACTTGCGTATTTTCTTTCCATTCAAGTATTACTTTTTTCCAAACGTTCTTTAACGTCATCCTTGCGACATGGACGCCAAAATACTCGTGTATTCTTTTCTCTCGAAAGGATGTAAAAGTCGAACGCGTATAGAGTTAAGATTATGGGGTAAAAGTTACTTTAAATATTAGGGGTTTCTATCCTATCTCTCTCCGCCTCTTGCGGGATTTCTGCAAAGTTTATTACGTGCCATAATCCCTTTTCCCTTTTACGATAAAGTTCGGCTAACGGAGAGCGATGGCGTCGTTTAAGCCGGCAAAGCGTCGTATCGCAGGACGAGGTTTCGGAGGGGGGAGGAAATTAGCTTTCTTAACGATTCTCGGTTCAACAAAGCTACCAACGCGCGAGAAACGAACGCGTTGAGATAATTATATTAAAGCGTTACGTGAAGAGGCAACAAACGGATCGTTCAAACATTCGTTCGACGAGCAACTCGTCGAGATAAAATATGCTCTCGGGGAAAATGGAAGGAACAATGGCGCGACTTCCATACGTGACTTTATTTACTTTATTATCGTGCACAGTATCGCTGACAGGCAAATCATGGGGGGAGGGAAAAAAAGGAAGCTGAGCGAAAGAACGGAAGAAAGAAAGGGAGAAGCAGAAACGAGATTAAACGATATAATAAAAGCACTACTTCTGCTGGCGTACTACACTTGTTGTTTGCGAAACGTTATTAATAATCAACGAAAGGGCAAGTAAATACCACTACCCTTATAAAAAGCCCTTTCAAAAATATGCTTCGACCAAATTCTTTCGTGAAACGTCGCGTTGCTTGTTTCCACGAAAGTCGAAAAGTGAATATAATCGAACAACAAACAATTATATTATTATACATATATTACGATTTCGAATATGGAGAAACGTATCAGAAAAAAAAAAAAGTAAGAAATAGAATAAAGTGAGAAAACACGGTATATCTCGTGAGAGAAATATTAAACGAGATATTCGCGATGTGTTGGCCGATTCACTACCCTCCTCCCATCGAACAAGGGTCCTCTTACGAAGCTCTGGCAAAGGCCTCGTTTCTCCTTTTTACACGTCACAAATATCGTAAGAAACGACGATCCGTCGGTTCACTTGCCCCTTCCCTACCACTTTTCCTCGGAGGCGATGTACTCCCCGATTTCCTCGATCACCTCCATGATGCGCGTCCGGTACATCTCGGTGGCGCGGCACTCGCTCTCGACGAGATCCGGGCGTCGATCGCCGTACACGNAGTGCTCCAACTTCTCGGTCGAGCCGACGAAATACTCCTCGACCGCCTCCTTGGAGAGCAGCATAATTTGCATATTGGCGACCGCGTACGCCAACGCCATTGTTCTCGTCTCCTCGCAACTCTTCACGAATTCCTCCCGCGGCAAACACTCCTCGGCGACGAGGCCCTCGACCGACAACTCCTTCC